TCCACGCTGAGCACAGAGCCTGACGTGGGGCTTGATCTCATGACCCTGAGATCATGACCTGAGTCGAAACCAGAGTCAGACACTTAACCGACTGTTCCTACCCAGGTGCTTGAGTTGTCAATTCTTATTAATATCAACTATTATACAGTCTTATGTTAATACAGTAATGCCCTCAAAATCAGTTGAGGTACATGAGACTGGTGGTCTCCTTATGAGTCCCAGGTCTCTGTGTGTTTGTATCTCCCCTCGCTAGTTGCTGTCACTTCTCATTGTTGTCACATGTCATCTCTAGTACCCTCTTCTCCCTCCTTATCTCTTTTAGTGATTGGTTAGTCAGATTCAAGTTCGTTGAAGCTATTTGTAAACTAGGAGTACACTGATCCTGAATGAACATCTAAGAGACATAAAAGGAAGGGATATCAGCCTTAGGGATTGGACTTTCTACGATATATTTTATTCCGAGATTTGTGTTTGTTTATTTTTTTTACTCTGCAGGTTGTTGACCAAACTTTGTTATTCATAGATGTGCAGGGCTTTAAAGCTTTTCATGACTATGAAGTGCTATACATATCTAAGCTAGTGTGTGTATCTTCAGGGACTTTTTATGTAACCTGCATTTAGTCGGCAGCCCGCCAGCCATGCCCATCTGGCCCCGAATTGATCATCCTTGTCCACATACTGGTGGACAAGTAATTATTATCATGTGACTGGCAAATACAGCGAGGTGGCACAGTCGTCTCGGAAAAAATTATACCTGGTCATGGATTTGATATTTAGGAGTCACGGTTGGCTGAAAACTACTTTTTGCAATGAGCACGGCAGGGCATGCTGGTGTCCAGGCTGTCCCAGGCCCTGGGATTGCCAGATGGTTGCAGTGTGCTTCCTGGTGGAGCTCCGCAGTCATCCAGAGGCACCTGGAGCCCCCGGGCCAGTCTCTTCGCCGCAAGCAGCCTTAGTGGCTTATTCCAGTTTGCTGTACAAATATTATCATTTTCTATGTACATCCTGGTGTGAAAAAATACTGAGAAGTACTGGTGTTAGGTGACTATACTGGATCACAAGGGGCAGTGTTCGGGGAGATGGATGCTTCTCCTGGTCTGGGATCTCTCAGCATGCTTTGCTGAGCATGTTCTTGTCCCAGGAAACAGGGACATCTATGGGATTGGGTGGTCTGAGAGTTCACTCTCACCCAGCCACTGACCCAGTCTTCTCTGAGACAACCCAGCTGGTCCTGACATATGGGAATTAAAAAAAAAAAAAAAACCTAAATTCATTCATTCAACATGTATTTATTGAGCACACTGTACTAAACTCTAGAGACACAAAGGTGGATAACATAGAACCCCTACCCCAATGAACTTGACAGGGAGATGGAAGGGTACAGAAATATGATGTGATAAAGGAAAGCCCCACACAATTCTGGCCTGCATAAGGGGACAGCTGTTCAGCCCTTTATTTCCGCACCCAAACAGGAGAGAAACACAGCATGGCAACAAGACCCTCAATCTCGCTAAACACCTTAGGGCATGTTTGAGCTCCTGGACCACAGTTCTAGCAGTATAGCCACTTCTTACAGAATCATGGGTTCATTAAGTTGCTAATCCTGACATCCTACCTGCAGTCCTCCAGTCCAAGTCTTCAGAGGCCCCCATGGTGTCTGACACATTTTGCCACAGCAGGAGAGCAAGTCAAATGCTGGTTGCTATCACACCACAGTTGTAGGCATGAAGTCAGAGAGAAAGCAGGGCACTGCGGACTGGGTCTCCTCCCAGCCAAATACCGAAGGTGGGCTTGTGATCTGTTTTTCCTTTCACTGAAACCGTTTCCTAAGCTTGAAAACTTTCCACTCTGAATTGGCTTGAGATTTTTGTTGAGAAAGGTCCAGGATGGGACAGATTGACCCAATCAGGCTTAAAAAAAAAAAAAAAAACAACTGAGTCAACCATTGGAATAATAACTCTTGACCTACAAGAATGGGAGGAAATCAAACGGGAAGAAAGAAGCCAAAGCCAGTGGTGGTGGTATCTTAAGTGCCTTGTTTTTGAAAATCCAGGGACATTTTGGGCTTCGAAAGGAAATGTGTTTATGCACAATCTAAAGGTGGTGGTTTCCTTCTTAAGATGATTTGAGATTTCATTTGGAAAAAATTTAAAGAGGTCTTTTCCCTCTGAATACCCAAACTCTTTAGGTTTAAGCTGGGGTGTACCCTTTCTATCCTAAAAGAACAACTAGCATTAATGGGGCATTTGCCAGGAAATGTGCCAACAATTTACATGAATTATCTCTTATTAATTGGAATTACGGGCATTATTGCTGAGTCACCCTTTATGTTGCCTTAGTGTTTCTCACATTTTATTGAACGATAAAAGATTCAAGAGATACAAAAGAAAGAAAAATAGGCTCTTAATGCCATCTGTGCCATCACTGTTGTCCTGGTGACAATCTGAAGTTCAAGGTCATTTTCGCAAACATGAATATTCCTCCCCAGAAGGGTGTTTGTCGTCCATGCAGACTCTACTTCATGCTTTAGGGATCGAGCAATGAACTCAGGTCTCTCGGGTCTAGAAAAATGTTACTTTGGCTATAAGGAAGTTTCATGAGGCAAAGATTTTTAGACACTGTGAGAATAATTTTGTGACTTTTGTCAGGAAAGGTTTATCTTGGCGTCTGGAACATCTGTAGCGCAGGCACTCTTGGATTAATAAAAATTCCATCCATTCAAGCAACTCAAGGGAGTTGTGTTGAAAACAGGAAGGCTCCTCAGAGGCCATAAAGCAATTGCTGAGCTCTGCCTTTCCTCCCCTGGGGGCAACCAGCTCACCTGGCCTGCTCTCTCTCCTCCAAACCACACACCAGTCTCCTCTTGCCTCAGGGCCTTTGCACCTGTTCCACCCTCTGCCTGAAGACTTCGCCACCCCAGCTCTTTTTAAGCCTGGTTATCCTCATTCTCCATGCCTAGCTCCAAAATCTAGATGCTTCCTCTGACTACCTCATCTAAAGTAGACTCTGCCTCAAAGTTATCACATTCATTCCAATCTATAATTTTATCTGGTATATTTACTTCTTTGTGATCTGACCCCCCTTCACCTCTGTGCAAGACCCATGGCAGCAGGGTCTGGATCTCTCTTGCTCACCATTACCCCCACTGCCCAGCATGGTGCTCAGCAGTGGCCATTGCTCAATGCTTACTTATTGAGTGAATGAATGAGTAAATTCATTAGTACATGAATGGATAATATTGAATTTAGCTATATTAACAGAAGGGGATATTATCAGATAGCCCATAAACCTTACTATGTTTATACTGCTTATCTGACAAATGTGCCCCCTGTGAATGCAACCTGTGAGTGGGAGACTGCATATAAGGGAAAAGATGAGCTTGGCCATGAAGAGAGGAAATAGCAACATGGAGATATTAAATTTGACTCTGAAGAAGTCTAGGTAGAGTCTGTTTGCCTTGAAGAATCTTTAGTAAGCCTGAAAATGTTTCATCTATCAAAAGCTTGTCACTCATCCCTGTTCCCACTCCCAGTATGACTTCTCCCGAGAAAATAGAAATGTCCACCCACATTCCTGATTGCCTCGTGCTTCCCATAAAAATTAGGGGTGGGCAAGCAGGGGAGAAACTGCACTAGAGGGGTGTTTAAAAGCCTCCTTTTAGAGTCCCCTGATTCCATGGTTTGTTTTAAGGGGGGCAACTCCTGTCTTAAGTCTTAGGCTTTCGACTATACAAATCTGCAGCTCACACAGAACGCTGTGGGCTACTGGGAAATGAAGCAAACAAATGTAATGTTAACTTGATGAACAGAGGTGGGAGGATGTTTGTAATGAGTGGCCCAGAATTGCCTGCAGGCTGTGAGAAATGGCCAGAATATGGGCTTCTGGATGACGGCGAGAAGACTGGAGAAGTCTGAAAGAAGAAAACGAATAAGGTCCACTGGTCCTGAGACCCGGGGGGGCTGAGGTCAAGGTCAGGGATGGAGACAAGGGGCAATAGCTGCCGTTTGGGGAGGTTCTGGGATCTGTGCAGTAAGCCCATTTGTAACAAGCTTAGGGACAGGAGAGGTGCTATGGCCCAGAGTTGAAAGTGGCCTCAGCTGTGTAGGGAGAAAGATGTTGATGATGCTTAAAGATTCTTGTGTCAACCCATGAGTGCGCTGGCAGCTGACTCCTTGCCACTGAGCACCCTTCTTGAATCTTGGGGAGCACATTCTTGGGTTACGTTCTCACCAACATAGTCTCCAAAGAGCCAGCCATCTCTTCTAATGCATCCTAAGTACCCCTTGAGAGGTACCAGCTCCTGTAGAGATTCAGAGAAGGCTGTGGGTCAGAAAGGCTTTAGGAAAGAGCTGGTTCTGAGGGATATGTAGGCCTTTGGTGGAAAAGGAAAGGAAGGCCTTGGGATTGAAGGCAAAACAGCAAGAGCGGAGATCCAGAAGAAGCACTGGAGGGACAATTGTTAGAGGCTGTTGTGAAGACCTGCTCTGTGTTGGTTGTGAGGAGAGGAAGACGCCAATGGGCCATGGGGGACCATGGAGGGAGGTAGCAATATCTCCAAGGAGAGGAGAGTAAAACCATAGAGGCTGATGACGAAGGAGACACACTTTAAAAATACCACCTTTACCAAAGAGTGATTGGCTTTCCCTTCTTTTGAGTGAGGTATTCATTAATTTATCAACAAATATTTATTGAATTCCCACTGTGTTGCCAGGTACTGTCCTTGCTTTGGGGAAAAAGCTGGGGCTACTGTGGACAGAAAAATCCACTCCTTCATGGAGTTTGCATTCTAGTAGGGAAGATAGAAAGTAAGCGAGTAGCAAAGGAAGTCAGAAGGTTGTGAACCTATGCAGAACGGAGCTGGGCCAGGGACTGAGGTATTGGGTAGAGTCTGTGGCACGGAGCCATTTTGCCTTGCAAAGGCAGACAACTCCACTTCCCCAGGTTCCCCTCACTCATTCACTCATTTTGTCATTCAGTTTGCTCATATTTCTTTTTGCCAGACCCTGTTCTAGGCGCTGGAGCAGAGCTGTAACCAAGAGGAGCAAACTCCATCCCTCAGGGGAGCTCATGGTCTAGCAAACAAGCAACAGACAAGTAAATAATATAAGTGTAAGTAGTAGCGATCATTGTGGTGGATGAGCAGGTAAGGAGCAAAGGAGGTAATGGGGAGGTGCCTGAAGAGAGAAGGAATGAGCCAGTGCTAATGGATGAAGAGCGTTTGGGAGAAGAGAAAAGCAGGGCAAATGCCCTGAGGAGGGACTGAGCTTCAAGTGTCACAGAACAGCAAGTTCATGGTTTATGATGTCTTTCCTCTCCTCTCCTCTTTTCTTTCCCTTCTTTTTTTTTAATTAATTAATTAATTTAGGAGAGAGGGAAAGAGTGAGCATGAGTTGGGACGGGGGGGAGGAGGGGCAGAGGGAGAGAATCTCAAGCAGACTCCCCGCTGAGCACAGAGCCAGACTCGGGGCTCAATCCAACAACCCCGAGATCACGACCTGAGCTGAAACCAAGAGTCAGATGCCCAAACGACTGAGCCACCTGGGCGTCCCACCCTCCCTCCTCTTTTTTTAAAGACACTCTGCTTCTCAGTTAAGGACCTGCCTAAACCAAGGCATCATCTTCCTATAAAGGGGAGGCAGTGTGACATCAGGGAAAGTGTGACACCACATAACTCGACTGCTTGGGGTCTAGTTAGAAGAACTGCCTGCTTTTTCACCTATAAAATAAGGGTTGGGGTTCCATTCTCTTGTTCACATTCATCAACTTCTGCTTCGTGTTGGAAGAGGCAGCAACTTGAATGTTCTTAAGCAGAGAAAGAAGGCGAGACTCTGCTCCCTTTCTGGCTGGCTTCCTCCATGAATTCTGGTTCTTCTTCCATTCTACCACCAGCAGGGGAAAGAATTCCATTGGGCCACATCAAGGCCTATGCCATAAAGTCAAAAGCTTCTGCTGATGTATGTGGTGGTGGTGGTCAGTGAAGGTTTTTTGGATACTTGCCTGATACCCAGTGGGAGGCACAGAGGTTCTGAGAGCTGGAAACTGGAAAGACCCCATCGGGGGTCCTAAAGAGGTGACTTCTCAGAGCATACAGCAGGGGCATATTGGTGACATGCAGGGGATCTGTGCATGGCCACAGGCACCATTAATTAGTTGGCACAGTTTCATTCAGTTTCCCCTGAGTCCCCAACTCTACCCACTGCAGTGCAGACCCGGTTCTAACCCAGGAGCTCCGTGTGCATCCTTGGTGGTGGTGCCACCTTCCAGCTCACCAGGGCGGGGCACGCAGCTGTTACTGATGGAGATCCTGCGGCTCAGACAGATGGAAGGACTTGCCCAGGGGCGCACCGTGGTGGGGCAAGGACTTGAGCCCAGCTTTTCTGACCTATGATGGAATCTTACAGGAAGATAGTTCTACTGAGAGAGGACGTGGACAGATTCTAAAGTCCCAAAGATGGCCTTGCTGGCCAGCGCTGCCCATGGTGGTGACTCTCCTCCTTGATTACACATTAGAATCTCCCGGGGGTCTTTCCAAACTCCCGCTGCTGAGTCTCACTCGGGACCAATGAGAACAGAATCCCTGGAGGTGAGCCTAGGCATCAGTATTTTGTGATGGTGCCACTGTGCAACCATGATTGAGAACCACTGCTCAGTTCCAACTGTTGAAAATGAAAATATAATCACTGAGAAACTCTCTCTCAAAAAAAAGAAAAGAAAAGAAAAAGAAAAAAAACCCTGATAATTTGCTACTTTCTCTGGTCACTCTAGAGCATTTTTCAAGATAAGGACCTGGGTTAAGGGGGTGCAAATGTATGAAGAAAATGTGAAATAAATTACTAAGTGAGAAAGAAAAGCCATGAATAATGTAAAAGGGGGAAGAACTGGGAGAACTAGGGCGGAAAGCAAAGCCAAGAAAATATAAGAAGAGGGTCACTTGGGGAAGGCTCTGTGGGTGTGAGTACAAATGGAGGAAGAAAACTAGTGTGCAAATCCTCTCTTGTTGAGACTTCAGAGCAAAGTGTGCCTTGGATATCTGAAGGGTACCAGCTCTTAGAATGTGCGCTCTCTGCTCCACCCCTCCCCTGAGAATTGTGGTGTGACCAGCCCCCCCGTAAGCCCAAATAATCGGACACTTCGTGATTAGTGCATGGTTTGCACTGTCCCGGCAGCTACCTGGATGAACAAACTGGAAGTGTGGCAGCTAATGACTCCAAATAGCAAGCAATGACTCCAAACCATTGTCATCCAGTGACTGACTTTATCCTTATAGTTGCCGCTAACACCTCCCAAAGGGAGGAACCTCTGTCGGTGTCCTTTGATTGACAAACAAGAAATTCTCTGAGAAACTTGCTTCTGACAGATTCCCAGCCGGCTCAGGCTGTGAGTGAAGAAGTTTTGTAAACTCGTGATATTTTATCAAATGGTAACTGGTTATAAGCTTTAGGGTTTCAGGATAGTACATTCTTTCTTAGACACGGTCCACAGAAGAGAGGACTTCACTATGAAAGATTCATTTGGCTGAACTGACGATACTTTGTCATTAATTAGTTTGGGTTGAAAGTTGAGAAGGTACGTGCCATTGCCAGATGTTTGGGGGTGAATTGGGAGGCACTGAGTTTCATAAATGGCCTCTATGAAATTGTAGTTGAGCTGGGGCAAGACAGGTGCACATTTGGATGAATTTTATTCTTAGGTACTGCAAGAGAGATGTATGTGTGATTTCCTACTTCAACCTATTTGACCCACAAAAATAACCTTTTCAAAAAAGTATTTATTTATTTGAGAGAGAGTACACAAGAGCTTGGGTTGGGGGAGGGCGGGGGCAAAGAGAGAATCTCAAGCAGACTCCACACTGAGCATGGAGCCCAACCTGGGGCTCCATCCAGGACCCTGAGATCATGACCTGGGCCGAAATTAAGAGGCAGTCGCTTAACCGACTCAGCCACCCAGGCAGCTCCTCTTCTACTCTCTTGGTATACTTCAGTTCCCTCCCCAGTGACATCTTTCCTTGCTTTATAAAATTGTTATGGACTGAAATGTTAGTGTCCCACCCCCCAAGTTCATATGTTGAAACCCTACTACCAAATGGGATGGTATTAGGAGGTGGGTCCTTTGGAAAGTAATTACGGTGAGATGAGGTCTAGAGACCTTATGAATGGGATTAGCACCCTTATACGAGTCATGTGAGAGCTTACTTCCTATCGCGGCTCCCCACCCTATGAGGACACAATAAGAAGTCAGCAGTCTGCACCCCAGGAAAAGGCCCTCACCAGAACCTGACCAGGCTGGCACCCCGATCTCAGACTTCCAGGCTCCGTAACTGTGAGAAACAAGCTTCCATTGTTTATAAGCCATGCAGTCTATGTTATTTTGTTATAATGGCCTGAATAAAGACAGGTATATTTCAGAATGTTCTCAGAGCATTGATTGGAAAAGCAGATATTATTATCAAAGTGTGGCTAAACAGATATCAACACCCTCAATGATTTACAGTGTTACTATGGTTTCCTGAAAGAAGAAAAAAAAGTTCCAAATTGGCAGATTGGCATAAATGGTGCATAATGAGAGATCCTTTTGATTGCCTCGGGTAGCAAATGGGTGCCTTTGATGTGAATATCTGTAAATGTGCTTTCGACACCTGTGTGTAAATGCGTAAGGCAAATATTGTGGTGCCAGGCCCAGCAGAAATTGCCATAGACACAGAAATTCCCAAACAAACACTTAGCATAACAACTCTACCAAACTAATCATAATGTTCCCATTGAATCATCTAAAATAAGATGAGATCTCTCTTGCCTGTGCAGAATTAGTCAAGTTCCTTTTCTGCATGATTACATCTCTGGCAGAAGCTTCCTTTGGGCTTATAACCCACTTATTTAAGCATGGCCAATGCAGTGTACTCCTTAAGGGAAAGGAATACCTTGTATCTCTTAAAAACATGACAAGCCTAGGAAAGGGAGAAATAGTCACAAGCCATTTGATTGACAGCTAGGAGCAGAGAAAGCCGCACACTCAGCATCTGGGTATGTGACTGATCCCTGGATTTGTCCAGAAAAGCACAACACAAGAAACATGCTTATCCATTTGACATTCAGAACCCCGAAGCTACCCAACCCAATGCCAAGGCATGCTGTGGGAGTCCCACTGACAGCTGCTGAATAGATTTTAGCTGGGAAAGATAATGCCTTAAGGAGCAATAGTATGGATCTGCAACCTTTTTGGTCAAGGGCCGAACACAGGAAGCATTTTAGATTCTGCAGGCCATATGCTATCCATCAGTTCTATCTACTCAGTTCCATTGTAATGCAAAAGCACCCCTGGACTCTGTAAACTATATGTAAAATGGGCGTGGTCGTGTTCCAATAAAACTTTATTTACAAAAACAGGCCATGCACCAGGTTTTACTGAAGACCATATTTTGCCAAGCCCCTCCCCCTCATTTATATTACTGAGAAAGATATGGACATGTGGAAGGTGGATGTGTTCACCAAATTATAGAGAATGATTTTTAAGAAGCAGTGCAGGATAGTAGTTAAGAGCACAGACCTGAAGCCTGAATTCAGACCACTTACCAGCTGGATGACCTTGAGCAAATTATTAAGCCTCTCTACGCCTCACCTCATTCACTTATGAAGTGAGGATAATAATAGAACTTAATGTCGTAGTTTGGGTCCGTACCAAGAAGACCCTGAGGGAAGGACTCAGGTGTGAGTCATTTATTTGAGAGGCGATCCCAAGAAGCACAAGTGCAGGAGTAAGAGCAATTGGAACAGTGGGTGGGGAGAAGCTCAGGAAGGGACATTAAAGAGTGGGTTGTTCTTGAGGCCATGGGATGCAATTACGCTCCGGACCCTTGGAGGTACCGTGTAGGATGGGGACACCTGCATGTGGTTCATCATCCACTTCCTGGCAGAACTCTCCACTGTGACCACAGGGGCCATCAGGATGGGCCGAGGGCGCACGAACAAGGTGGTCATGAGCGCCACACTCACTCCTGGAGTTGTTGCAACGGTGAGGTGAATTAATATTTGTGAAGCACTTCAATAAAAATGCCAGGTATTTAGTAAGTGCCATTTAAGTCATTGTCAAGCAGTAGGAAAGAATATGTAGCCCAAGGAAAGTTAAATTGTTGAAATTACATATCTCTGAAGGTAATACTGGTTGAACGCTTAGCTAAGTTCTGCTGTGGATTCTGAAGAAACACTTGAAAGTTTAGGCTGCCTGTAGCTAAATTATAGGCAATGGCCTCTCCAACTTTGTAAAGTCGAGTCAACACCATGTACTACATTAGCTGATGAAGGTGAATCAGGGTGACCCGAGGAAAGCTGGAGATACAGGATACCAAATAAAACTTACACCATACTTAATGTATGCATAGTTGTTACAGTGGCATGGTAATTAGGCACAAATGATATGCTGCTTGCATAAATTACTGTAATTTGTATTACTTTTTTTAAATTTTAATTCTAGTGTAGTTAACATACAGTGTTATTCTAGTTTCAGGTGTACAATATAGTGACTTAACAATTCTATACATTACTCAGTGCTCATCATGGTAAGTGTACTCTTCCTCCCCTTCACCTATTTCCCCCATCCCCCACCCACCTCCCCTCTGGGAACCATCTGTTCTCTACAGTTAAGAGTCTGTTTTTTGGTTTGTTTCTTTTTTTTTCCCCCTCTCCTTTGTTCATTTGTTTTGTTTCTTAAATTCCACATATGAACAAAATCATATGGTATTTGTCTTTCCCTGACTGACTCAGTTTGCTTAGTGTTATGCTCTCTAGATCCATCCATGTCATTGCACATGGAAAGATTTCATTTGGGATATATGTGCCCCTATGTTTATTGCAGCATTATTTACAATAGCCAAATTATGGAAACAGCCCAAGTGTTGTCCATAGATGAATGGATAAAGAAGATGGGGTATATACACAGTGGAATATTGTATTACTTTTATACAACCAAATACACGTTTTTCTTTTCTCACTCTGTTAATCCTCCAGTACCTGGGAAACTGACAATTTTTGCTAATATGGTTTAATCATTGTGACCACCTGTGTTCAAGGATAAAGGCCTTGAATGGAATCCCTGTAGTTTGGGCTTCCCTTGTTTACAACCTTTCTGATCTCAATTCCATTCATTCTCACCCCGTCAGATGTTTCCCACATGCTGCCATCCCTCCCCCTCACTTCTCCACGGAGTTTTAAAGCATGCACACATATTCTCCCTTCCCTTTTCCTGAGTGTTCTGGCTGCTCATAGGATCTGTCTGGGGAGGGAGCCACAGCCTTATTACCATACTGCAGCAGGCTGGAGCTGAGAATTCCTGGCCAAGACTGCCTGGGAGAGGATAGGGAGCACAGTGAAAATGAGCCCTGCATCTTTGACATCTGGAGTCCAGGTGGGTTGGTGGTGAAGGGTTGGTTTTCACAGGAAGTAGGGCAATGAAAAGACAGTGCCCACATAAGTTGGTTCTTATTTCCAGAATTCATTAGCAAAAGCTTGGACGATCTTTGGCATGGCTCAGGAGCTGTCTGAATAAGCCTTCAACCACATCCGGGGACTAGAGGAATAATCTCGAATGGGAAGAGAAGGAAACAATTATGCCTCTTATATAATCTCAACAAGTACCCACATAACCAAAGTAGAATAATCTTCAGAGACATTTCTAGACAATAACATGCATCTTTAGTCAAAATGCTTTTGGCTGCAAACCAAGACAAAACCAACTGAAAGTTGGAAATTTAGTATTCTGCAAAAGAAAACATCCAAGATTACTAAATTCACTGGTTCAAAAATGGTCATCAAGGATCTAGATCCTATTCTGCCAACCTGGAGGTATCATCCCCACCCTTGGCTAGCTCTCCCCACTCTTGAAGATAGATGCTGCCTCTTCTCACATCATACAAGGACATAACCATATCCAGAAGAAGGAGACTGTGTCTTCATGAATGTCTCTTTTCAAGTGATGGAATCTTTCCCAGAAGTCCCCCAGAAGATTTTTTTTCTCCTAATTCATTGGTCACAATGGACCACAGTTCAGTCTTAAACATTCCACAGGCAGAGAAGTAAGACTATCATGGGTGGCTTAGGCGGGTCAGGATTTGGAGCTGGGCTGGGGTTGGGATCAGCCTTCCCTGATTCACAAGAAAGAAGAGTAGGTTCCAAACCAAATTTGGATGTCTGCCAATAAAGAAGGAGGCAGATTGAACATTGCCTGACAACCAACTGTAGGATTTTAGAGATATCGCCCACCTCATACTCTCTTACTTCCCCCAAACTTTGGGTGTTTTATTCTACAATTTCAGATGAAAAGACACAAAAATATAAATGTGGCTAGAAAATGAGTATGAGTTGGATGATTTTCTCTTTAATTAAGAAAGACTGGTATGCAATTTTTCCCTTTTTGGGAGAAAGAAGGATATTAGAAACCAGAAAGGAGTAGGTATCTGATGAGGTTGGCATAACTCTTTGCATATATATATTTAAAGATTTTATTTATTTATTTGACAGAGAGAGTGAGAGAGGAACACAAGCAGGGGGAGTGGGAGAGGGAGAAGCAGACTCCCCGCTGAGCAGGGAGCCCAATGCGGGGCTCGATCCCAGGACCCTGAGATCATGACCCGAGCCAAAGGCAGACGCCTAACGACTGAGCCACCCAGGTGGCCCTGCATGCATATATTTTAAAGTACTTACCTTATTTCATGGTTATTTAAGTATTTATGTCTCTCCCACTCTCTGAACCCATTGTAGTCAGGAGACTACTATTCTTTATTGTATCCCCAGCAAGCCGCACAGTCTGGCACATACTTCCTGTCTTGCCAAGCTGCTCACATGCCCATGCTGGTAGGAAGTATGATGAGGAACCCTCAGCCCAGTCACTCATCCCAGACATTAAGTCCGGCTCATTCTGGTCTCCATGGTTCCACTCCAGGCTGATTCGGTACCTTTCCTTGGTCCCAGTTCTTGATGACATTTTTTTGGAGGATTTATCCGAATTTAATGGCCCTGCCCAACACATATACCTGCCCCTTAAACTTGAGTTACTGCTTCTCTCCATTTGTCAGTTAATAGTCCCTCCAGTCTTCTCATTTCTAACTCCCTAACCGGCATCAAGTTCCAGAAGACGTCTCTCTGCTTTATCTTTAACCATCATGGGCTACAGATTAGTTTAATAGCTATTAACTGTTGTTATACTATGGGTTTTGCTTTTATTTGAATTGACCATTCCCTCTTGTACCCCCCCCCCCGTTTTTTAGGTTCATATTTCCTGCTTTCTCTATCAGTCTTCTCCTCTCCTGAGACTCATAATCCCCATTGTCCTGTGTCTGCCCATCGCCATTTTATCCATTATGAAGGAGCATCCACCAGATGCTCAACTTGTTAGAGATAACTTATGGGTGCACAAATACAAAAGAGACAATGCAGTATTGATGAAAGTGTCATACCAATGGCCGGTTTGTATGTACACTATTCCTCCCCCATGCCCTGGTCTCCTCACCCCCTTCGGTGCATATAAACCAGGAGCTGCAACAGGCACAAATTCAGTAAGTGCTCGAAGAAGCCTACCAGCTAGAACCCTAATGTTCTTTTCCCTTCTCCAGCAGATCCTCTTTTGTCCCCATGCAAATGGGTGCTGATATATGTATGTAACTTGAAAGGGCTTATAAAGTCCACAAAGGAATCTAACGTCCAAATGAAAGTTGTATCCTTAGCTCACCTCCCTGTGCAAAAGCATTGCAAACTATTCTGTGACGTTAATTCCCATCTGGCCCCCTCCACAATAGCTAACCACAGTAGGAGAAATTAGGGAAATGAATTCCAAGCATGCCTTAGGATTTATTTTCTGTGTGAGTTTAAGCTAAAGCTTTCACTTTCAATAGATATTTGATTTTCAAAATAGGCTACAGAGAAACAAAGTGAATATAACTGTTCTTTATGGTATGGTAGGCAGTCTCAGGCTTCTTGGGAGTCTGCTGTGGTTTTTGTTGATTCATGAGGTTGGGTTATATTTTGCAAATTTGCTTTAATAGCGTATACATGTGTTGTGTTTATGTTGCAGGTTCTTCTTTACTCCATCGCGGAGATCAATGTATCAGCTGGGAATGCGTAATCCCAGTGGTGCCTGCTTTCTATTCTGGAACCAAAGAGGGAACAAGGTGATCAGGGATGGGGCATATTTAAGGGCATGGAAACCAGTGGTAGGATCATGAGTTTATGGGCACACTTAGTACCAGTCCCTAAGGGGGTAATTACAGACAGACTTTGAAGCTGCTTAAGAAGAGCAGCATCATAGATTTTTATAATCACTGCAGTAGCTGTGCTAGATTTGTCTAATGTAGTTCTGGGCACAAAAAGATGTACAATACCCACTTGTTGAATTGAGCAGAAGCTTAAGGAGAAGAACTGAAGAAGCTTAGTGCAAATAGGAGAGAGGGAGCCTCTAACCCCTTTTCAGAAATGAATTAAACCTCAGTGTTCTGTCTTCTATCCTCTTTAGAGTTTGAAGTCAATTTTCCAAAGATTAGGGCTTAAAGGGGAAGGAGTGGATTGGGGAAGAGGATTAAGGAAGAGTTTATGAAGATAATAGCTCACATTTACTGGGAACTTACTATAGACTGAATCTTATGACGATGCTTTACCAGGATATCAGGGGAATAAAATGAAACTCTGGACCCATAAACTTTTAACTAACCCTGTTCTTTAATTATGAAATTAATTTCTAATGTGTCTTTATTGTGTCCCAATCTACCTTGGAATTTTAATACAAAGTGAAAGCATTTTAGCTTGCTCTTATACTTAAAAACTCACAATGAAACAACAGTGAAGGATTTCATTAAGCCAATGGACTGTGGATGTAGCCAGACTGATGTTGATTTATAAAGCAAAATAAATTGGTCAGCCAAATTTTAGCCTGGTCTGGGACGTGAATCATAGCAGTCCTGAAAATGAGTTATTCCAACTAGCCTGCCTGCCATTCTCCTTGGTGGCAGGGAGAAATAGTGTGCACGGGGCTAAACAGCAGAGACGGACTTGCTCATCCATTGGACAAATATTTACGGGGTCTTACTAAGCGCCATGCAGCATGCTAAGCACAGAGGATACAACATGAATAAAACTAACTCCCGTCTCCCAGGTGGCTCGTGTCTAGAAGGGAACACAGGTCTATAAACAAATAATATGAAAAATTTTTAAATGGAGGAATTATCAAGTATAAGAAGCATATCAGGGGAGCATTGAATCTGAGCTTTGAGAGGAAACGAAGGGAGGGGCATCTACAGCAAAAACCTGAAGGATGAGTTAGCAGGAAGTCAGGAGCTGGGGCAGGAACATTCCAAGGCCCCAAGGTCATGGCTGTAGACAGGAAGGAACAAAAACAATGGTGGGGTCACACAGTGAAATGGGATGTTGATGTGGGCATTCAGGCCATGTTCCTAAAGGTGATAAGACAGTAGCCATTAATACAAGTGGTATAAATAATTGAAAGGACTTGCTGAAGGAACTCGGGCATTGGGCCTCTGAAATGTGTCTCCTGTGGTCTCTGGCATGAATCTCACTACTTCAGGCTCACAACATGCACATGGTTGACTATGTGAATCAAATAAAATGCACGCTAAAACCTAACATGTAATGATATGTGCTCATGTATACAAGTGTGGGCCTATGTACTATTGAGCTGCTTGGTAACCCAAGCATAAATAACTGTAATCAATAGTCCTTGAGTTAAGCCAATTTTCTTCTCTCTTCTCACTCTGTTAGTTCCTAAATATCTATAATCAATGAAATGGCATCAACCGTTCCTTACCTCATGCTCAAGTGATTACATGCAAATTAAAACACAAAACCTCAGTATCTTATTTCCTAGAACCCAGGGTTCCTCCCATCACGTCACATGCTCAGTGTTGAAATAACTTACACGTGAGTGAATCAAAAACAGAGTATTGTATGGTCAAACAGCAGTAGCCTAATAAGGTAGGAAATGGGCAGATTTTGGAACTATAATTGCTTTGGGGAGTAACATTTTTATGTCGAGGCATGGGGAATAACCACATTGGACATGCTTCTCAGGAAGGGCCAGACACCACCGTGATGCACAGGAACAGGAGGGCTGCTGTGGTCATGAATGGGCCTTTTTTGCAGCCATTCTAAACCAGGCTTTCTCTTTTCTTTTAATAGGGGCTTTTATGCTAAAGGGGAGTTGTACCTTTGGCAATGGAATAAAATGTGCCATTCATAACAGTTATGGGCAAAAAAAGAAATCCATAGGAATGCAGTTGGTGAAGGCTTTATTTCAAAGATTGCCATCTCAACAATTGCAAACACAGAAAAAGATATCTTTGGAATTTGCACGTCGACTAATACAAGCTTGATTTGGCTGATCGGAGCTATCGGGGGAAGCTGAAGGTGGGCAGATGAATTGACCCTAGACAGATGGCAGAAGCACAGGGTCCAGCCCCAGACTGGGACAGGCTTTCTTCCCCCACTCAGAGTTATGAGTTTCATGCTTCTCCTATCTACCCGTTGGCAAGGAAAAAGAATAAATTTTAGCAGTAGAAGACTACAACAGTTGAATCTGAATATTATTTCCTGTTTGCTCTGTGTTCCCGCCTATGGCAGGATGGTGTTCTCAGCCTTCTTCATCCCTTTGGCTTCTTCCGTCCCCTGGTGATCTGAAGTTATGTTATGAATGGCAGTCAACGGCAGCAAGAAAAACATTTTCTTGTCTTTTTGATTGTTTTTGCTCCAAGCATGGACTATAGATCAGCATCCCTTGAGTGCTTGTTGGAAGTGCGGAATCTTAAGCTCTGCCCAGAACAAATGAATCAGAATCTCTAGTCTAACAAGAAACCAGGTAGTTCCAAGCCCATGGATGAGCCCCTTGAAAGACCCTGAAGCAGCTTGTGTGACTCTAAGAAGCAACTGTTCCTGTCCTCCTCCAGGATGGAGCCAGGAATGAAATCTTCACAACCTGCACGACTAGGGGCACCTGCCAGATGGAGCCAGGACCCTGGGAGGAGAGGAATGGATCAGAAAGGGGGAAATGGAGGGAGAGGAAGGTGTAGGGCCTCCCAAGAGCACACTGAGGCTGACTCTGAATGAACTAGAGGTGAATTGGTGCCATAGGTCACGATTTAAACCATTCTCTGGACTCTTCTTTATTTGCAAGCAGCCTCTTGTAGAAATGCATTGCCTATGTGTGCGCCATTTTATGTTATTATGAGGCATGACAACGCTTGAGTTTTCTGAGAGTAACTTGGTAGTTTGGCAGTAAGAACCCATATTTTGCTGACTCTTACTGCTTCCCACTGCTGCAGGGCCCAAGCCTTCTATGATGTCTGCTCCAAAACTACCTGACAGGGTTTCCCAAAGGAGCTGCACACGTGCTCCCAAACTGTTACCATGTGGCATCTGTAGGACCTCGAGGCCTCTCCTGGGTAGAGCCACTTTTTCTAGGGAGAGTTGGGTATGTTGAACATGGCTACCACGTCTTTGGGGTTTCACTGTGTCTGGAGGTCCTGTAGCCCCTGCCAACTGGACCCCTCCACCACCATTTCCTGAGGGCTGAACTCCCTGAGGAACAGGAGCCAGCGGGGCAGGGCATACACTCTGTTGGAGAGTTACCAAAACTCCTCACCGTGAAGTGTTATAAATTTTTTAGTTTTTGCCCCAAACCCATCCCTTCCTAAGATTCAGACCATCTCCATTGGATCCAGCCTAGGGAGATCCCTCTTACGTCGAGACGTTATAAGTGGGTCAAGTTTATTGGGTGAGATTGAGTTCATGAGTTCTTTCCTTGGTCCCGCACGCAAATAGGCTTCCAATGGGGCCTCCCCACCAATCCATGATAAATGCTCAGTCATTTCTTAATCCTGGTGATTCAACAAAGCAGCTTTCAAATCTAAAGCTGGGATTCCCATTACCTACAATACCTACAAACTATACTAGAGAACAATTCTTTCCACAGCATGGGTTCAGCTCTCTTAATTGAAGTGTTTTTAAGATGCACTAAAAATTTTGAAAAGGCATCAGGGAATTTCCAAGAGCTTCCCATTGCTGTGACCCCAGGAGCCCCTCTTACACTGTAATCTTCTCCCTACCCACGCTCTCCCTTCCCAGCCCTGGGTGCAGGGTCTCAGTGGGTTTCCTTCTCTTCCTGCTGGAGAGTGGCCACTCTATTCCTGCATGTTCTCTTTCTCCCAAGACTGACTGCCAAATGGGAAGTCGTTTGCACAAATAGTCGAAGTTCATGCTGTACCTGAAGACTTACACACAGGCTGTGCCCATTTTATGAGTTTTACTGTTAATCTCTTTAGGAAACAGACCTGTGAAAACAAAAACTAAAAATACAGGGAAGTTCTAAACTTAATAGAATCTTACAGTGTTCTGACTACTTTGCCACTAAGATCGTAATAATAATAATAATAATAATAATAATAATAACTGAGATCTACTGAGCACTTAATGCAGGCCAATTTCTTGTGAGCCTTTTCTAAATGAAATATCGCAGTTGAAGCAAAGCAGAAAACTGAGGTTCATAGAGATGAAAATCCTCACCTAACATCACCCAACTGGTCAGTGACAGGAGCACCGTTGTATTGTGACCCCTCACACTATAATGCTTGTGTACTTTCTGTCTTCCTTCTAATTCACTTCTGAAATGGCATCTGTCCACTCCCATAAACTTCTTCCCCTGTTTCTATTCCTGAGAGTTGTACTCAACCAAAATTTTCACCATCCACTGGCACCTCCATCTACCTCTAGTGGGAGATCTCTATCAGGAACCAACAGTAGCCTCCCATGAGATGTTGATACATCTTTCATTAAAAAAAAAAAAAAAGACGTCTGTGTTAAATATTTTTGGAAAGCCCTGAGTGAAACAAAGTTTGAGAGATTTCTTTTCTGATGGCAACTATTGTATATACTGACCACATTTTGTTTTTCTTCCTGAACCCTTGCTAACTCTGCAGAGCACCAGTGACCCACAAACCCTTGCTTCTCAAACTTCAAGATGCAGATACAAGCACAAGGGAGCTTGTTAAAGTGACGATTCTGGCTCAGTGGGCCTGGGATAGAGCTGAGATTCTGCATTCTAACAAGCTCCCAGATGCTGCTGCTGCTGCTGGTCTGAAGACCACACTTTGAAGAGTAAGGCCATAGAATAAAGTTTGGTTGATGCTGCTCATAGAAGACATGCCAGCAAGAGGCTTATTAGTAGAACCTCCATCATGAGATGAAACTGAGTAAGAACAATAGGTATT